GAATATCTTGGTTCCAATAAAGGTTCCTCTTCGTTTTCGAAACCGTATGTCAGCGGCAAATCACAGTCAGTACAGCAGCATGACATACAGTCAGTGTCTCTTGGGGATGGGATGCATTTCTCGCAAGGCTTCTTCTGCATAGATGATTTGATTCCTATTGAAACGGATAATCGCGTTCTTGGCCATCTTCGAAAATGTTTACCGGATTAATAACCAAATAAGCATAAAAACTCCCAGAAAAATACGAACGTCATGTTCGTTCACACGCGCAGCCTACTCTGACTTTTTGACTTTAAATGATCTTTATTTTTTGAATTTGTGTGGTTTACATGTATAACTTATCAAGTGACACAGATACGTCTTTTCATCTTTAGAGAATGTCCACCTTGGTGGGATTGGTTTGTTTTAAATTGAAAAAGGAAACTACATATAACTACTATTTACAACTACAACTAACCTACAACTACTATATGCACCTAATCTACTATATACAAATTGCTTATCAAAGCATGTTCTTTTTTTTTCTTTATTATAGAGATTTTAAGCCATATGGCTAGTTCATCTCTTAGATACAAAGCATGTTCTGATAAAATACATTTTTGTGCTAATTTAGTCTTAATTTCGGTAATTCTGGAATCTATTTTGGCAATGCCTGCCTCTTCGTGTAAATTTGTTATTCTAGTGTCGAAAGGACGATCAAGCACCATCCTCAGCACTCTACTCTGAGCGACCTGAATGTTGTTCCTGTGAGTCTGTGCACATGATTCCCACACCGGAGCTCCGTAGAGGATCGCAGGTGCTATGATTTGTTTGTAGACAGCCAGTTTGTTCACCCTTGAGAGGCGGGATCTGCGGCAAATCAGCATACAGACACCTAACCAAGGCAGAACACTTGACTACAGTTTTCTCTACATGCAAACGGAAGAGGAGCTTTTCATCGAACAACATCCCGAGATAGGTTACTTCGGCAGACCACTCAACCCTTGTGCCATCCATGATTACAGTACAAGATGGAGCCGGTTTCAGTTTGGGCGATTGCCGATGGAGGAACATGATCGCTTGTGTTTTGGAGGCATTGGTTTTAATTTTCCACGTGGTGGCATAATCAGCAAAGGCCTTAAGGCATCGTTGAAGTTTGTTCGTTATTTCTCGAGGCATCCTTCCTTTGACGGCTATTGCGGTATCATCTGCGAACAGGAAAAACACGCAACCGTCTCCGAGGGGAGGAATGTCGGAAGTGTAAATGCTGTAAAGCAAGGGGCACAGCAGACTAGACTGCCTTGCGGGACTCCTGCTGGGATGGAAAACGTGTCTGAAAGGCAACCATTCAACGATACCTTAAACGACCTTTGCTGGAGGTAGTCACGGGCAGGCATGGTAAATCATTTGCATTCATATCATGCATTCATTTACATTCATTTGCCTCTAACTTTTTTTTTCGACAGCATTCCGCAAAATGATGTATAGAACTTTTGTAGGTTTTGTTATTAACTACAACTTTTCTTAACAAGTCAAATCCATATCTCTTATGCATGACGAACCAGAGCGAACATAAGCCACTACTGTTTTTCAATGAATGTATTTTACATTCACTGAAAAACAGTAACAAGTTCTGCCCGCTCTAATTCGTGATGCATAAGAGATATAGATTTGAGTTATGACCAAAGTTGTAGCTAATAACAAAACCTACAAAAGCTCTATATATCATTTTGCGGACTGCTGTTGATGAAAAAAGTTAGAGGCAAATGAATGTAAATGAATGTATGAAATGAATGCAAATGATTTTCCATGCCTGGTTACGGGTGATTTTTACCAGATCAGGGGAAACATATGTCAGAAGGGTATACTCGAAACATAAACAATGACTTAGAACGTCGATTTCTCTTGAATGACCATACACCCACGGAAGCTGATTACACTAGTTCATAGAACAAACATTTCTCTGTCAGATGATTTAGTTAGTTTGAGTGGGTATGTAGTCATTCGTAAGAAACCGACGATCCTAGTCATTGTTTACGTTTCGAGTTAGACCCTCCTGACATGTTTCCCCTGAGATGTAAAAGAAAGTTGAAGTTACAAAGCTTGAACACAAGTCTCCAGATCTCCAGTCCTCTGAAACTGGCGTCTACGAACATTTCTCAGGCGAACTAAGAGTTGGGTGTGGGAATCAACGGCAATAGACTTACCCCTCAAAGGAACTCGTCGGACGCACGCTTGGTCAGCCACGGTTATGGCTTGGTGGAGCCCCTCTAACGCTCGGTCGATGTCCTCGACGGTGTCAAGCGGTGGGTTGTCGATGATGTGCCTGTCTACCACGTGTCCAAACTGGGCCCAGTTTACGTGGTAGTAGTCCTTGTGCAGACTTGGAGCAGTGGCCATGTTGTAGCCCAGTTCAGTCACCACCGCACCGGTTGGTGGTCGGAGCTGAGTTCGGTAAAGGCTACCGGCTTGGACAAGCCGGTATTTGTCAGCCTACTCTGATGTCTGGTACCTCTATGTATGCATTTAGATTAACATCCGAAATTCCTCCTTTTTTACACATTCTGCACACAAAATAGCTCACCCTTCACAGGATTTCCTTCCGATTTCTATTAATGGGGCGGGGTAGAAAGTATCTTTTGGGCAGAATATGTAAAAAAGGAGGGACTTCGGATGTTAATCAAAATGCATATATAGAGGTACCAGACATGTTTTGCAGTGTCAGGTACTCTATTTTTTAGTCTATGAGAGGGAAATCAAAAATAGAGTGTCATCAAAATACATGGCATGTTGAGAAATTGAACTAGTGAGAGCAAGTTTTCTCTCTCAAATTTGAATATTTTGGCTCTATGGGGACTGGTAGTAAAGCAGGTAAAAGTTTATGGGGAAAAATCATGTTTTTTTTTATTGTAGCTTGTTTAACAATAATTTCCTGGAAAAAAAAACTGAACGACAAAGTCCCTGACTAATTTCTTCAGGTTGTCGTTCACTTTTTTTTATCAGAATATGCAGTGAAAGCGAATCTCTCAATTTCTATGTTATTCCTACCAGTGAAACAGCGCCATCTCTGTGGAAAATGGCTGGACGATAAGATTAATTCCAAAAATACCCATATTGTGGGGTATTTGACAGTAGTTATCAGTTGCCAAAATCGCAAAAAAAAATAACTCGTTATTTAGGATCTGCTCCGTAAAAAGCGATACGATAACTGAATACTGCATAACAAGACTTCGTAAACGGTGGTTTCAGTGTATCAAACAAATCTTACATCACTTTTAATAAAAAGGTGTGAACAGAATTTAAATCCATCAATAAATGGCCAAGTTATAAGCGTTTAAAACCTGTCGCTATTTCGTCACATTTTTTTTTGATTTGCACCCCCAGTATAGTCCACAGGATCGTAGTCCTACGTGAAAAATCAGTTTCGCTGAAATAACCATCAAACGAATGCTTAGGTTCGTTTCTTTAGATGTGGTCAGTTTCGAAATGTATAACGGGGGGTCTAGAGAAATTTTTATTTTAATCCTATTTTCAGTTTAAAATACGTCCAAAAAAATTTTTAAGCCTGATTAAGCCAAACAAAATGTATGGAAAAATGACCTCCGATAGAACATGTTAAAACTAGCCTCAAATGCAAGAGGAGCACCTAATATTTCGTTTGATGGGTGTTTCAGCGATACTGATTTTTTTATAATAATGTTATTTTACCACAGACACCGTGTTCTCAATTCTAAATGTAGGTGGCGAGTGATCGCCCCAATTTTGCTGCAATTCATCAATTGGTACACATCCTTTGTACTGCAACATCGCAGGATGCTATTTTTTCTCTGAACTGACAATATTTTATAGGTTCAGAGAGTCTTGATTTTTTTTTATAAAAAGATGTCACAAATATCTTCGTTTTATCACGGTTTCAATGTCAGCAACGGCCGTTTTAGATCGTATAAGAGCGCCAGTTCATAATGGACCAGGCGCCTCCATAGCTGCTGAGCGGCAGACACTGTACGCAGTGTTGGATCTAGAACGCTATCGTGCAGCCAACCGTCCGCACTCGCGTCCTATGCATTCGGCGTCAATTAGAATTTTCTACAGCCCACCACCCACTTTCAGCCTAACCAACGAGTGAGCTTAGAGCTTCGAGAAAGCGCTCATGCTGTTAGCCTACTGTGCTCTCGGCGCCTCAGCCATCATCGTCCGTAGGTAGTAGTGTCAACAGACGATGATCGGTTTGAATGGATGATCATTCGTTGTCGTCGTCGTCATCGTCGTCGCGCAGTAGGTAGCGCAACCAACAAACAAAATATTTTGTCATATAGGGTAGAAACTACTTCGACTTAAGCGTCCATCTCCGTCATATCGAGCAGCAGCATCAAATATATCAATGATTTCTGCCTTCATCCGTATACTGAAGTGAATCAAATGACGTTCAATGTGTTTGGGCGGAATTGAAACTTGTATGATGGAATTGGAATCAAGAAGCAGTGTTAGATTTTTAACAATATCTCCACAATTTGTGATTCTCTATAAAAATCTAAGCTACACACTAAGAAAAATTATGTAAATATAGGTGCTCTGAGACTGACATATACGAGCGTCAATTTTGACATAAAATTGAGTCAAAATAGACGCGAAATAAAGCTCAATCAAACGTACCTTCGAACTTTTCATTCTCAGAGCACTTAATTTTCCATGACATGTATGTTAACGTCTCATCCTTTATGTCAAAGATGGATTCCGTCACGTGTAATATTAGGTATTTCTAAGTGTGTAGATAAATTTAGTCATCTTTCATAGTAACATTCCATTTTTGTTCAAACCCATTCGAAAAACCGTGGCAAAGGGCAGGTTGCGCTTAGTATGGCAGAAATTAGATCTTAACCCTAGGCAGAGCTTGTAGCGCGGTTAAGCTGGAACTTCTCATCTGCGCGTGAGGGTCGAATGGGGATTCAAATTTGCCTAGAGCCCAGCTGCTCAGCCGGCTGGTCGTTCAGTTCAGTTTCAGTATCGCGACAACCCTTACGCCGAACGGTCGATTTTCCGGAATAATAGTCTTATCCAAATCCAGGACATTGGGAAATTATTCATACCGGTTTTCATCCACTTCATACGCCGAGTCGAAGCTGATTATCAATTTAGTTAGAAGAAGTGCCGTTTTGAATTATCCGATCGAGTACGACAAGATGAGAAGACAGCCTGTGGCCAGTTGACAGGCCGCCCGTTGACAAATTTGAGTTTACGAGTTTAAATTGGATTTACGTTGGATTAGTTCTCTCGAAGCCAGTTGGCAAGTTCACGGAACAGCGCATTCCATTGCGGTTGATATCATTGTGATAACAGGAGGAGGTAGTGTGATTACGAAGCGAGTGCATATATATGAATGGAATTAGTTTTGAATAGTGTTGAAGAATCAAGAGAAAGGTGATAAAATTCATGAAATTGGCTGAATGGGCGGCATGTAAGTTTTGAAGTAGCGCCAAGGCCAACGAATAAAATGCGCACCATTTTGTGAAAAGTGATTGTATTGCGAGTAGTGACTTTAGTGAAGGTCTCCTTATTTTCATTATTTGACATTAACATCAAATTTGCATTGATACAAGCTGGTGAAAAGTTATAGGTAAACCATCTAAATTTGGAATTTCACTGTCAAACAACTTGTCTTTAGGTTCGTTATTCAAGAGCTAAGAACCTAGGATAACATAACATGTTGGTTCTAAAAGTTCGTTTATCTATACAGACCAATCTCATCAATTCAGGACAGACCTTAATGCAGCAAATTGTTCAGATTGTTTTAAACATGGGTTTGTTGACTAGCAGCAAATGCGAAGAAAATCATACATCAATGTCCTATGGTGCCGTCATACACATGGATATGTTTGATAACTTCAAAAAATGCTTTCCTTCCAAATTTATGTATGAGCCAAGCATTAGGGCCACTTGTGCCGCAAAATAAAGCTTGAGATCTTCAAAATTTGCCATATTCATATAAAATCATCTCGAATATTTTTGGCAGTCTTGGAATCTTGATAACTTTTCACGACCTAGAATTGTGGAAATGTTTCCATGATTGTTTTTCCGGGTGTTTCGAAAATTGGTCCAACCTTGATAGCTAAGGTAAATTAAATTTATGAGCGCTCAATTTTGCATAAACGATACCCGGAAACATGATGCATCCTCATGCTGAAAATGAACGGTCATGGATTTCATTTACCCGCTCGCCCCTGACTTGACGATAATAGATAAAGGTATTGACGTAGCCAGCATTTACCCTAACAGTTGTTTTTTTTTGGTTCAGAAACGCCAAAACATTTTCAAGGCTTAGATTCTTGATGATATTTCTAAACCCGTGATCGTGTGCACCTTTTCTATGGCTGAATTACATTTAAAATTTCCTTTGGAACTCTTCTCAGGTTTTCTTCAGAGTCTTAGCTCTTTTTAAGGTGCAATTTACTTTGGTGCGAAATTCAAAAATTCAAACCCAGTGTTATTTGACGTATCATTTCAGTTTGCAAAAAGCTCGCGTGATTTTTGTGTAAAATACCGAAAGGAATGTTATGACGAGAGTTTTTTGCCATTGAGCTATCCATAGAATTTCTTCCCAGAAGTCCTTTGAAATTCTCATCGCAATTGCCTTGGCATTCTTGAGAAATTCCCGTAAAATTCTTCTCAAAATAGCAATGGAATTCTCCTGAAAATTTCCTCAGAATTGGGTTCTCGATTACTGCGATAGTTCTGTTGTAAATCGCCGGTGATTTGTTAAGACATTATCCTCAAAATTTTCTTTAATTTACCTTCAGAATTATCTTTGAATTATTTTCAGAATAACCTTGGCATTTTCCTGAAAATTCCATTGTAATTCTTCTCAAAATTTCCTCAGGATTCTCCCATAACTGCTTTTGAATAGTTTTCAGAACTCCCTTGCAATGCTCACAGAAATTGCTTTAAACTGTCTCCAAAATACCCTTGGAACCCATACCCATAAACCCATAAAAATATTTTGAATTTTCTTGAAAATGTAATTGAAATACTTCTCAGAACTCTTCTGAAACTATCATCAGAATTAGATTCTGTGTTGATTCTCATCCTAATTCTCTAGTAGTGATCTTGAGAATTGTTTAGGATTTATCTGTTATTCCGTAATTCCCTTTCTGTTTTCAGTATTTAGTATCAGTATCATTCTCAGAATAAACCAGCAATTCTTCTTAAAATCTTATTGGAATCCTTCTCAAATTCCTCGAAGAATTCTTACATAACCCCTATTGAATTATCCTCAACATTCCCTTGAAATGCTGCCAGAAATTCCTTTGTACTTCTCCAGCATTCTCTCGGAATTCTCTTCAAAATAACTTTAAAATTCCCATGAAATTCCTCTCAGAGTTTTTCTGAAACTATCCTAAGAATTAGTCTTCTCGTATACATAGTTAACGACATTAAGTAAATTAATTTCTATTTTTGGGAGCGGATACCAAGTAGCCCACACATGATAATCAATGATATCAGCATCCTGCGAGAAAATAAAATCCAGTTGCCGGTGGGAACTGAACCCACAGTATCCCATTGAATTTCACCAGCACCTGTTTTTTTTTCGCAGAATGCTTCACATGTCACAATTCCACATCGTTGTTCATCATGTGTGGGCTACTTAGTATTCTCTCCCAAAAACTTAAGAGCTAGATTCTCTATGAATTCTCCTCATGGATTGGGGCCTCAGATAACCTCTCAGTAAAGGCACGGTCGGAGGCGGCGGGTTCGATTCCCGGTCCGGTCGAGGGAATCTTTTGGTTTGGAAATTTACTCAACTTGCCACGCCATATACAAATTTATGCATTGATTGGTACAGAAAGCTCTCAATTAATAATTGTGGATGTGCACTAAGTGGAGAGACGAAAAAAAAAAACGCTCGCAAAAGAAGCGTAAAGCCTAGAAGAAGACGAAGAAGATGAAGGAGAAAACGAAGAATTGCATAGAAATTATCCTCAATACTCGCTTTCATTTGTCTTCAGAATTCCCCTTGAATTAGTTGAAATTTTCTTCAAATTGAAAATTTGTTTGCTGACGCCGATATAGGTTCGAAAATGCTGTGTAGCTGTTCGACTTCAACAGAAATAAAAGCTAGCAGTTTCTTCGTTGCATCGATTTTGTGGATTAAAGCTGATATTGTGACGCCCTGCTCCCACTTATTCTTAGAACTCTTCGGAACCTATTAGGTTAGGTTCTCTATGAATTCTCTTCGAAACTTCCATGTAACTCTCTTGAGATTTGTTTATGTATTTTCCTCAGAATTCCCTTTCATTTCTACTCAACATTTCATTTGAAGTTTAATCAAAATTATCTACACTAAAATTCCTTTCAAATGCTTTCAGAAATTTGAATTTCTGCCCATAATTATCATGAATTTTTTCTTAAACTATCTTCAGAAGTAAGATCTATATGTATTCTCCTTGTAATTTTCTTGGAATGCTCTAGAAAAAATTTCGTAATTATCCTTAGAAAGCCGCTACAATTCCCTTCAGACTTCTTTTTTAGTAATAAAATGGATGTATCTGCTTTTGTAAACACTGGTTCATTCGTCAATTTGTCGAAACTCTAACACTACCTGATCGTGCTGTTAGTTTGCGTGGGTTTACAAAAGCAGTTACATCAATTTGAAAATACTTTTATTTTTAAATTTTTTTCGTCGATCTTGTTTTGCGTACTGAGTACCTATGCTACAGTTATAAAAATTTAAATAACAACAATTGTCCTTGTTGAATATTTTTGAGGTTTTTTTTTTGAAAAAAAGGCTTATAAAAAATGCAAACTTTTGGATTTTTTGTAAAAAAAATAATTTTTTAACTGAAATTATTACAAGAATTTATTATAAATTCTCATAAAAATTCTTCTGAATATTGTTCAATGTATCAGAATGTAAAGCTTTGTAAGGCTCAGAATCTGAAATCTTGGAAAACTATTCAATGTCTGACATCTTAAATAAATTTTCTTAGTCCCTCGAACTTTTACATTTCTCATTGTTCGTATCATAAAAAATGGGAAGTTGAAGTTTATAATTTTTTGTTGTTATGATTTTTAAAACAATTTCTAAATTGAATCTCACGTGTTTCAAAATTCTGCACAATGCCCAGCCAATCCAAACACATAAAGCAATCAACGATACAGGTAACACGATTGTTACTACTACCACGATAAACTCTCTCTATAATATAGCTTGATCGGAGTTGTAGAAAGGTAATGATATATTGCTTGCCTGCTTTGTTGCAATATACGGAATCGAGAAAAGACATAATAAAGGACATCGAGAAAATACATAGAATACCAGCTGCAATTTGTTGACCCTATTCTGTAGATACTCGTATCAACCGGTGGAAACTAACGATTTAAAATTGGCTCACTACTTCACTAGCCTATTGGTCCCAAGCAAATCGATTAACTTACCCCATTCTGGTCGATATTCTAGTACTAATCTATGTTTGTTTTGATCGCTATGAAAGTTTGACAGATAAAATGAGCGGTTCGTGGATTTTCCTATGTTTCGAGGGGTGCATCAATTAGCTTGGGACCGAAGGTAGTACCAGAACGGAACCAAAAAGTTGAGCACGTTTCTTCGGAATCTTGTAGTCTTAGAGTGACCTCTATGCTCGTATTGCTTGGGTTCGTACGGTGACTGCCATCTTTATTGTACGTCCGCCGTCTTGGATTATAAAATTGCAGCGTATACATTGACTTTCAGCTTGTACCAGTGCTGAGATTTGTCATTGTCATTGACAGACTTTCGCGCGATATTGACAAAATTGTTCGTCACATAGTCACTGACAGACTTGATCCTCAAAAAAACCTTCGTCAAAATCTCATTCATTTTTTCGTCAATGACAAAGGTTCACCTGGTAACAAAAAGTGTAATTTAGTGCATTCTGTGTCACATTATTGTTATCCAAGTAGCTCAGGACGTAGATACTTGTTCACTAAAATGGATCCATGTAATTGTTTTGCTCAAGTCATTTAATTTTGTTACAAATTTAGCTAATAAACAAATCTGCACATGTTCGTCACTGACACCATTTTCATTGACAATTGACATGGTTTGCCTTGACTATGACTGTAAGCTAAAATGAGTGACCAAAACAGAATTGTCAATATCACCGTGTACTGTCGAGATTTTGCAGCACTGGCTTGTACTCGTCGAGCCCGTTCCGTAGATACCCATATTGCTTGGCTTCAGATGAGTATCCGCTTGGGTTCAGATGAGTATCGGCTTACCCACTGAGCTAAGGTAGGCCCCACGAGTACAAGAATTATAAGGCTTAAGAAACATTAAGAGTTACAAAGGTCAAGGGGTGCAATCATACCAAACCTTAAGACTCACGTAATGTAATCTGGTTTAATTGCAAACTTCACTTGTCACCTACCTTCTGTTAATTATGCGAACATATTTATAGACCATCATAAGGAATTGGCAGAACA